AAAACATCCCTTAAATGTTGATATATGTTTTCCTATTTTACTGTATATCTTGAAAATGGTGAATGATTTACAGAAATTGTTGCAATGAAAATTTGACGAACTTTTTTGCCATTGTATTTAGATAGAAAGAATGTCGCCCACTGATTTTATTCGCAGGTCAAAAGACCTGCAGAATTTCATCATAGGTACAGATGTGTGTACTAACTTATCTGATAGCACAGTATTTCGATAATTTTAACCATGTGTTATCTAATGTACAAATGTGCAAATTTTAAAAAAATCAGAATTTTCAGGGCACCTAAATTTGTGACTGAAAGTGAGATTGCTATACGTAGAAATTATTCTTCAGTAAAGTAAGACTGCCAATAACGACAAACATTATTCCTCAGAAAAAAGACCTTCCTTTTCTCGTTCAAATATGTCCATAACTTCCGTAGGCAATAAATTCAATTATTCTAACTTCCACTAATGTTAATAATTTAATAATTTTCACTTCGCTAATTTTCGAATTCACATTCGCAAATAACTCGAAAATGTGTATGTCACGAAACAGAATCGATGCGATCTTTCGTTACTTTGATTAAACGCGCGTTAACCAAATAGTCTATTACCGAACCCTTTTGTTAAATGGAAATAACGCGGTTACGTGTATAAAGCGCCTGGCCGACTAAATATAAAATTTGATCCTATTCAGCGGGTCTGATTTCAATTGACGTCAGAGAGCAAACGCGCCTCTTGGATGACCGACATCAATTCTATAAGTATTTGAACGGAGCAAAACCGTCGTTAATTGACATTGGCCAACCGAGAGGGATGCGTCGATGCGTTCGTTCTGACAACAGCAACCTTGAACGAATGAAATCATTTCGAACGTTTTATAAAACGCGAGTGATACAAAAATCCGTGAAAAAGAGATATTTAACGATAAATCTTCTACAAATGTAATCGTGAAAAATCATTTAAGTTCTCTTCCCAATCGGTCCTTTCAATCGTTTAAATGCCTCGTGTTTTATCTCGAGAGAAAATAGAGTCTGTCTTTGACGAGGCAATGTTGTCGTACATATTGTATCTTACGCGAGTATACTATTCTATATTGATATTCGCGAATACACGGTTCAATATTGATTGCATCCTACGTTACAAAATTACAGTACAATATCCTGTTTAAGCAATTTCCATGTGTGCAGTGAGTTTAGTAAGGAAATTCGCGTCGACTTGGATCGTTTCGCTCGACACATGCGAAGTATAGTATTTTATAATTTATGATTAAGAAGTCACGCTTTGTGACGTAGCAGGGAATTTTAGGTAATACGAAATTTATTACCTTCAACAAGGAAAAGAATCAAGCGTGGTACAATATTAAAGTGGAAAGCACCCATCGCTTCGCTTAGTTCTGAACAGACTCTCTCAACCCTTTTACTGCTATTGGCGCTTTGAAAATTTTCTGGCAGTATGCCCTTGGCGACTTTTGGCACACTTTGACCTTAATTTCATCCTCGAATTTTGCCCTTCGCGCACTTCCACCTTAATTCAATGAAATGATAAATATTGCAATTTTTTTGTAAATTTTAGAACACCCAAAACGAAAGATTCTGCCAAACGAAATTTTGCTTGCTCGCCACTTTTCGATTTTTATTCGTTCCGTCACCTTTCCTTTATAGAAAATAATGGAAGAGAAATTAGAAATCTCTCGGAGAGTGAGAGAAAATTAATTTTAATTAATAGTGAACTAATTGAACTAATTATCATCAGTTTACTTTGCACGTCGTTACGTATGGTGGCAAAGTAATTTATTTGAAATTATTTAGTATTGACATGAGTTACCTACAACAGTTTCCCCATCTACTTTGAAATCGTTACAGTTGTATGCGACTTTGCACATGTACGAAATTTCCAGTAGCTTATAATAAGATGTAGAAGATTTAACATCGTAAAGTAGAATTCTATAATCCATTATTTCGCAAACAGTTTCCTGACACATGTAATTACAATAATTCTTACGAGAAACACCGAGACACGAAATCTAATTAGAAAACGAGAATTCTCTACTCATTTGGTCCTGTGACATTTACTTTTTAATATTACTTCAGTCTAAAACGGTATCTCTGTTCTCTTCAAACTTTCAATAAAACTTCTGTTCAATAGCCGTAACACATTCTACGCGTTAAATATTCACAATAAAATTCTAAATTTACCAATCTTTCAGACTATCCTCAAAATACCCCCCAAAAAAAAGGAAAAAAAATCACAAATAAAACAAAATTTCAATTTTTCGTGTATCAATAAAGCTCACTAAGCTCCCGTTGTAAAGAAAATTTGCACAGAATTTGCCAAGAATTCGTCCACTTATTAAATACCTTGCCGAACTTCACAACCAACTACCTCGATCGTGTTTTCATCTCTATTATGGACGATGGTTTGGTCGATCAGCAATATTCTCGGCGTTCCCCGGCCGAATCGACAAACCAGATGCTTTCCGCTTCGGCAATAACGAAACACCGGTTCGTGGTCTCTCCCTCGAAGAGCCACTGCTCTCGTTTCACTCGCGAAAGAAACGAACGAAGGAAAGGATGAACAACTCAAGAAGGGAAATGAAATTCTGCAATTAATCAAGAAAGAAAAATAACAGAAAATGAAATTCCTTTCTCTCCCCCAAAAGAAACTTCATACTCGTCGAGACTCTCGTTTAAACATCAGCTTAACAACAATCTTATATACGACGTACACCTATTGTCAGAGACCCTGTATAATTATTTACAGATCCACCCAAGGAGAGACACATACATGTATGTATATTTAATTACGATGTGTACACAAATAGCCGTGCTCGATTGAAGAACATGTTTTACATCTGTTACAAAGAAAGTATGATAGGAAAAGTCGTTATATCAAGCAAGCTAACACTTGACCTGAATTATAGTTTACACTGATGCGTGGGTGATCCTTAGCTAAGTAGTACCTATTTAGGAGAGAACGATACAAGAAAGCATATTTCTCTCTCTATCGTTCGTATTGGTGTTCTCCTCGATCGTTTGCTATCCAGGAGATTGCCGTTCTCTCTCCGTGACGCACGTTATCGAACGAGAGCATCGATCAGAGAAGCGTTACGAATTAGCTTGTATAATTCGATCGGAAAGATTCGAAATTACGGGAAACGTCACGATTTAGTTCCATTTATATCTACGCCTACGTTCTCCTAAATCCGTTGCGAAAACCGAAACACGTTCGATTGCTGTACCTTGCGATTTTTCCCGGAAGACAGAACGGAGGAATTCGTTTTGCGTTTTGATCAATCTCAGTGATCGAGACACCCGTTGGAAAGTAAATTATATTAATAGAGAAATAATGGGAAATGGATCCTCTCGATTTTTTAACGCTGCTTTTTTTTTTTTTAATGTGCAAACTGAACGATGAATTTATTATACATCTCGGTGTCGATAAACAAACGAATGTTAATTAATCAACGTGGAATTTGCTTAGATATCACGCGTTACTTTTTGATTAACTTGATGTATTAGGTACTATGGCGAAAATTTCGGTCACCCGGTATATTTATAGGGAAGAATAAATTTTTGCGAAATTTAGTACAGATTTAAGAAAATGTGATATGATCTAGAGGATAATTTTATTACTTCAACGTATTGATTTGATATGTATATATGGAAGGTTGTAACGTAATTTTGTTTCATTTATTATTTAAGGTTCGATACTGAAAATTTGATATGAAAGATAAATTGAAGTATTCTGTGAAAATTTAAATGCCGCGTAATTTCGTGTTATTCAGTATCGATATAAAAGTACGTTTTATGCTGGCTATTTACATTCTTCGAAAGAATTAGATCTACGAAAAGGACCAATTTTTCTGCGGATCCGAAAATAAAACGGTCGGCAACTTTTCTTTCTTCAATTTACATCGCGTCATGGAAGGATGAGAAAAATTGGTGATATTTTTCTTCAATTACAAAGTGCGCTCTTTTCTTGAAAAATACAAAACGTATAAAATTTGGTCTCTGTTATATTTACAGCAGGTATCGCGTTCCTTTACCAGCTAATTTCAAAAATGGAATTTCCTGATAACTGAGAAAAATCCTGGTCTCTTTTCCTCGACCGAAAAACACACCGAATCGTCCTTTCTTTTCTTTTTTTTTTCTTCATTATTTTCATCGTTTCGCGGTTTCATCAAATTCGCAAATGCGCGCCGTCCAGCGCGAGACAAATATTTACATTGAGTCTTTCGCGCACCGTCAGACACGACGTGTGTGTATGCAAACTCGACGCACTAACAATCGCGTCCGATGGAAATGGACATTTTTTTCACGAAGCAGAGTTCGAGACTCGAGAATCGTTTAAAATTTCTGCCTCGAAATTTGGAAGAAAAAAAAAGAGAAATTATACAAAAGTAGAAAATTTTCAAGTGACAATCTGAACGAACGAAAAAAAGAAAAAATTGAGGAATATCTGAGGCAAAGTAGAAACTTGAACGAGCTCGATCGTTCGATCACTTTCTTTCTTTCTTTTTTTTTAATATCCTTCGTTCTTTCCCTCGGTCGAATCGGTGAAAAATGTTCTGTGCCATCGCGTCTCGTTCATATCAAAGAGCGGCGCGTTTCTATTTACACGGAATGCGCGGCGTTTTACAGGTCAGCGATATCGCCGCCGCCGCCGCCGCTAAACTGGTTTCACCTGTGAGCCCGCGTTGCTTGAACACGGATGCGTGATAAATAAATTGTAGCTCGGTGCTCGCATCGGATACGGATTATCAGAGATATATATGTATATACAAAGCGAAAGACCGAGAGAGGCGGTGTACACTTCCGGTTTCTAACAGTGTAAGTGGTGCTGTTGCGCTTCACTTTCCGCTACACTAATAGAACTCGGTCTAGTCGAGGTTTATTTCTCCCGTGTAAATTTATGCGTATGCGTGTACATTGCGTGGAAATGAGAGAAAGAGAAAAAAAGAAAGAGAAACGGTCACGTGTAGGTGTCAATTTATGAACTCGTTATACCGGCGTCTTTGGCAGTTTCCTGTGCGTTGGTGATGAGGGCGTTTTATCCGTTTCCCCTTCTGAAAAATATTTCAGTTTCATCGTGAGACACAGCGGTAAAAAAAATTCATTAGTACTGTACGAAGCGTTTTACTTAATCTTACATTAGCCTGACAGATTTAGCTTTACTTTCATTTTTCAAGACATTCGTGTGAAATTATTTTTATTCTGTACGTTATTCACGGTGGTTGCACTGAGAAGAAGCGGAAGTTCTTCGACCTACTGGCGATGTACTGGCAGTAACGCCTAAAATTTTAACAGCAGCGAGTGTTATTTTCAAGTTGAAGTTGTTTTAGACAATTTCATTCGCGAAACTGTAATTTTGAATTGCAACGCAAAGTGTAATTATGTGCACAGACAAATAAAATTGATTAAAGGGAAATAAAAATGGAAGAGGTACGCGGGTAAATATTTATTATAGGAAACGAAAGACGGAGAAAAACCGAGAATGTTGTACGCGGTACCACTGCCGGAAGGTTAAATTTATTCGCGTAAAATAGTGCCGAGTAAATGTTGAGCGAGTAGTACGATGAACCAAAAACTGTGAAGGGAACTCACAGAAAACGCGTCGCGATATTTAGGAGACCGTTGATTGCGTTTATAAACCACAGAAGAGAAAAAACAAATATTCAAAGAAAAATTGACAAATTCTGAAAAAGAAAAATGAAATCGAATTTCACAGAGTGCATAGAAGAAAAATAATTTCATCTTACGACTGTAAGTAACTCTTTCTAATTCGTCGAAGAAATTCCTCCGGAACTTGCTAGAATATATATTCTCTCTACATCTGCTTTTATTTCAAAAGGTTAGATACGAAAGAAAAAGAAACGTACTGTTTTATCTCTGATACACGCATGCGACAGATGAATGAGCCATTACCATCGAGCGTGAACTACTTGTTTCCCGTTCATCTATGCGCTCGAAACGCGTTTCTTTCAATGGCGCGAAGCTGACGAGTCCTTGTTTCGTGCGAGTTATCGATTTTAAAGCCGAGCACTCTACTGATACTCAACTGATGTTTTCCACTGAATATACGTGTTACGTGGTGATTTCGACGGTACCGTGCAGAGCTGAGAAGTTGACGTGCAGGATAGCACAAGGACGAGAAGAATATTCTTCTCTCTTCGGTTTTTACGCTCTCGAAGCGCTACTTTAAGGTTCCTGACTAGGGATACTTTTCAGAAACAAGAACACTCTGCCACGTTTACGCCAATTTTTTGAAATTTGTCGCTCTATCCTTGTTAGGTTTTCTGTAGAAACGGTTTATGGCACGATCGACCGGGAACGGTTATTTTTGAGTTGAGGATTTTCGTTTATTGCTTGCACGGGTCTCATTACCTCCTCCGAGGGTCACTAGAATTGCTTTGCTAGATTTTTAGTAATTTGTGTCCCTCGCGCTCAATAGCCTACGAACATACCATAAACCACGAATTTCCGAACGGCACATCTGTATGCAACGGTCCGCTTGCCGATTAGTCACCCGGAGGAAATGACACGCTGATTGGCAAATGCAATTGTTCACCATTAACCAATCAGCGTGCCCAACAAAAATCCCTCTCACGGACGTCCGAGACGCGACGTCGGGGAGTTGAGTCGTCGAGTACTCGTTCAACCACCACGAACAAGGAGAACCAAGGAGGAACCAGCTCACATCACGCGTTAGAAATAGATCAGTTTTTACAAGTCCCAATCATTTGGGTGGTCCTTGGAACCAGTATCTAGACGGCACAACATCGTGCAAACATCCACAAAGCTCGAAAGTTCATCGCCACAACCACGAGCAATAACAATCCTACTCAATTTCTTCGTTACGCCAAGTTTTGGCAAATAACGAAAATTCGTGTGCCTCTTTTCTACAATCGAACCGTATTCCTTCTCGCATCCTTCTCAGCTCTGCACAGTACAGTGCAGAGCAGGAAAAAAGTCCCGCAGAAGAAATTTTATCAAACACAGTGTGAAAGAATCATTGTCAATTAACAATCTTTCATCTTTTTTAACAATTGGTAAATAATTATCAGGAATAGTTGTTACATCGATACATTCTTGAGTATGCAGTGGTGGTAAATTGCCATCTATATTTTTACGATCAAAATCATAAGCATAAGTTAATATGTGATAAACGTTGCAATTGAAAAACAGTTACATTAGTAGTCATTAGCAGTCATTGTATGATTGGGTCACATCTCCATAAGTCAACGCTGTCCAAACGCCTCTGATCGTTGAAACTTCATTCCTTACGAGTATCGATCGAAACTCGGATATTGAAATCGACTGGAATTTTTTAAGAACACGTTGAACTTGATCCTATCCCTACCAATAGCTGAAGTCTTGCATTTATCGCGTGCTTCTTACCACGTGAATGTTTTTTCGTTTGTTAGACAGACTATACCTTCTCTAATCGTAGAAATAGGGCACACGTATTGTCGTTATCGGCCAACGCGATAACATTGTCGAATTGGATCATTAAATTGCACGACTAAAGAGTCAGACGATGTAAATGAATCTCTCTTGCCCTTGTGTCATCACGTTGGACTTCTCTTCAGCTCTGCACAGCACTTGCGATTAATTTCGTACTTACCCATCAGCAGTCCCAGATTCCCCGGCGTTTTTCCCGAAGACGGCACCGCGGCTAGCTCCTCCGGCAAGTCCCCGCTGTGTTTTTGTCACGTAAAAATAGCGGTGACACGGTGAAGCAATTGAACAACTCGCTTTTTCATTCGATTCGATCGACTAATTTTTCTATTTTTTTTTTTTTTTTAACTGTCTTATCGTTAGTTGCAACTATACTTACGTGTCGGTAGCATGCTCGACTACCAGCTCGACCACGTCGTCCTCTCGTTCGGTTATCTGTGCTACTTGCTCGAAGCTTCGATCTACCAGAGACACTCCGGCCCATTCTAACACCTGAAGAAGAACATATGGATTCTCTAATGGCATTTCAATCAAATTCGTCTTTCTTGGCATAGTAGAGTTTTAGAGTGTTTTATATGAAATGCTGGCTAAATTTTTTTTTTTTTGGGCGATCCTTCGTAAGCAGAGAACGTTGATCGAATATATCTCTGTGATTTCCTCGAACGATTGTGGGGGTGGAGGTATACTTATGAAACGTTTAAGAGAAGAAAAACAAGCTCACGTGTTGTTAGTGACAGGAGAAAAGTGAAATTACCGATTCAGATGAGATATTCAGCGTTTCATTTCATTCGTCAGATATTCAGCGTTTATTTCGTATAAAATACTCCTCTAGTAGAAAAATATATATACACGTTTGTTGATATATTTCTGTATTGAAAATTCTGTGAAAGCTAATGGATGGTTAATATTATTTATCAGGTATTTCACGTGTGGACAGATTAAACTGTATTTGCCGCGAGAAAAGTATTATAGGAGAATGGGTTTCCTCTTAGTTTTAAAAGTCATCGGCATCTTTTGAGTTCGTTTTTCCCGATAGGACGAAAATGCATTTTTGAAAAGGTCTCTTAAACTACAATACTTGTACCAAAGTTTTTAATTTAATTTCTGCATGTTGATATTAAAAATTATAGATTACACTAAATTACTAAAATATATTCACTTTTTCTTAAATTTTCAATTACAAATTACCTCAACTTCGGTGCAAATTTTTATTCTTTCTAAAAAATTTTATACCAACAAAGTGTGTTTTACGTAAAAATTTCTTTCCGATCTGTTGAACCGAATTTTTCGTTCAACAAAATGAACCGTGGCACGTGAAATTTGTAAGAGTCGCGTTGAAGTAATGGATTGGCATCAGTTGGCATAGCACACGCATGGAATTACTTTTACAATGTAAAATTAAACGACCATATGTCAATGAATTCGTACGATTTCACGTGATATAGCGTTCCTAGTCGACGTTCGCGATTGTGACACGTTTCCGTTGCACACAGCTGTCGATAACTTAATTAAAATCACAGCTGAAGAGAATGGTTGTCGATATTCACACGCATTAACCGCTTACAATAAAGTTACCCGCTCAACACTGGATACGCGTTATCGCTACGTCTTCTTTATTTCGTTCGGAATTTAAACGATAATACATGATTAGGTGTACGTAAGACAGTAGGACGCTAATTTTAATTTACAATGCTTGAATCATGCACCGATTACTTACTTCCTTTTACTATTTTGATATTTGGAAAAATTTAAAGGGCAAACGTTAAATCTATCTTTATTGAAATTATAACTTTCAGTCAGATTTTCTTGTGACGAGGTAAATTTAAAATAATATTTCCTTTCGTTTCAACTTGGAATTCAAAATTAAGAATGACGAAAAGAATCCCAGATGATTGCAGTGTAGAATAAAATTACTTCGCATTTATTACGAAAACAGCAGTGATATGAAATTTAGAAAATTAAATACTATAATTGCATTGATTACTAAAATATCAGCGATTTAAAGTTTTTAAGTAGTTACCTTAATTAATTGCATACATTAAGAATATCAGTGACTTCAAATGTGAAAAATTAATTAACTCGAACCTTATTAAGGAGCTTGTTTCGTTTAAAAATTTCGCGTCACTAATGAAACGTTACTTCGCATTAGAAAATAACGTTTCGGTTAAAATTCATTCGAAGATACTTGAAGTATTTGTCGAATTGGACTCGTCGGAGGAAACAGCACAGAATCAGAAGAATTCGAGACGGTTTCATTAAGATTCGTCAAGATGAATTTGATATTTCGCGTTAATGGAATGTTGCAAATTTAAATGAACATGTTAACACGTGGGGAAAAATGCATGAAATATTCTCACCTTGTCGCCACGTTGTATACCAGCCTTTGCTGCCGGTCCATCTGGCACGGTCCACATCACGTATACAAAAGTACGTCCATCAGCCCCTGTTTTACCGCGAACCACTCTTAACCCAAAACCAGTGGCTGAAAAAAAAAGTTGAAAATTTAACGAATATAACGATGTAACGTGCACAACTCCGCTATCAACTCATCGTTAAATAAATTACGCGAAGAATTGCACAAACGTATTAATTTAATAATTAAATTTAAACAAATTAAATATATTCAGTTTATTATTTATAACTTTGAAAGAGAAAATTGTTAATAATCAGGATAAAATGTTCATTATGAGAAGTATCTTCTGAGAAAAGAGGCGGGAAAATTGTATCACACGATGAAAGTAGGAAAAACGAAATTTTGTCAGATTACCAAAAGAAAGTTTGATATAGAAACGGATCAGCTGTTGGTTTCTCGAAGCCTAGACGGCGGTTACCGAGGTAATTTCGTCGTATTTCACGGAATACTAAATAATATCGAAGAAAGTTGGAAAAACTCGGGGAAAAAAGGTGACCTTTATGTTTATAAATTGGTATTCATCGCAGCAAGCTTGCTGGGACAGTTTAAAATTTCAGCGCATCTGAAGCGCGGTCTTTTGTGCGAAATTACGAATTAAACGAGCTCCGTGGCTATAACGTCTGTGTATAGTCAGTTTGACTCGCGTCGATCGATAACATCGAATGTCAAGACGACTTTATTACATGACATCTACAAACATTACTCGTTCGTGGCTTTTATACAGTCGTTGCCTTGTTATGACCGCAGTAGGATCTACGTGGGTGACTGTTACACTTCTGCTTTGTGTTTGATGCGTAAATTAATGGACTGTATATGCTCAAAGTTGCTGCAGTAGGTTGTAGATTTTTTTAAAAAATGTGCTTATCGATGAAATTTATTATAATATAGAATGCAAAATTCTGTTATAAATATTAGTTACTGTACTATTTTCACAGTTTGTTTTTTTTGTGAATGAAATTATGTAGATTTTGTGTACTAATGATTAATAGCGAGAATTTTATAGAGAAAAACATTTGAATACGATTGTTATAATTTAATAAGAAAGCACTTTTAAACTATATAGGGTTGAAAAATGATATTGGACTTTCAATTGCAAAATTTTTTTAATTAATACAATCTAGCTATGGCGGATTCGGAATTTCAATAACGGAAATTGAAAAAATCTGAAAATTTCTATAAATTCCAGCCATTCTGCAAATATTTGATCGGTGAGTTCGGATATGAAACACTCACACCGCTACGATTGCAATAAAATTCATTGCCGAAAACAGTGAAATTGAATTCTCTTTTTCAATTCGTTTAATAGAATTCGATACGTTTTATTTACTTTAAAGTTTCAAGTTTAGAAATTTATTACACAGTTCAGGACTGACAAATTTTCAAAGTAACGAAAACAAATCTGAAAACGTATATATGAGATTAATAAGATCTAATAATTCGGAAAATGAAGTAATTTTAGAAAAATTAAAAATTTTAGTCGTTACCAATTGAACAAGTGAAAATAAAACTAGGCGAGAATGAAAATGAGACCAGCAATTAGGCAAGCAATTATCTGAGATAAAAGAAATTTCAAATGATTTCGAATAGATGAAATAATGTCATCCCTTGATGCTACCAATTTCAATCTAGATAGAAACACAGAGCAAACCGCGTTATCGGCGGCAACGTTGGATTTTGTCCCAGTAAAGGAGATCAGTCCTAAGCAAGAGAAGGCAAACGACACACAACAATGAATATTCCCCTTGACGGGTGTCCACATAACGAAGTAAGCGCGATTAACGTCGAGCTAATTTAATACGCCGACTAGCGCGACGAGTAATGAACTCCGTAACATACGCATATAGCGTATATATAATAGCAACAGGTTCTTCCACGGGATTTTGGCGCGATATTAATCGCGAGATTAACGAATCGCGGTCCGCTCGAACGAAGGAGCCAAGGTAATCAGTGTCATTAATCTTTGAGCGTCTCCTGGAAATTTCAGACTGAATCGTCTGCTTCTCTCTCCCCCTCTCGCTCTCTTGGAAATTTGAAAAATTGTAGCAGAAAAGAATTGACAGTGCTCTCTCCTGAAAAATTTGAAAAATTATAGCAGAGAAGAATTCACAGTGTTCTCTCTCCATTTCCCTCTCACTTGCTCTCTCTCTCTCTTGGAAATTTGAAAAATTATAACAAAGAATTCACAGTGCTCTCTCTCTCGAAAAATTATAGCAGAAAAGAATTCACAATGCTCTCTTTCACCCTCTCATCCCTCGTTCTCCGCTTGTTAGCGTCCGTTTCAGCAAATTCTCCCTAGCTCCCAGCGCAAACGAGAGAGAGGACTGTGTCACAATTCCACAGTTGATAATTCGAAGAGGAAGGAAACGGTTGAAGGTTGAACGAAGAAAGTGGAAAAGTAAAGGTTCGTTGTTCGCGCAGAGTGAATCGAGAGCAGAGTTTTGACGGGTGTCGACATAGGAACGCCAATCAAGAGCCGTCATTCAGGCTTAATTAACAAACCGGGAACAGCATGTGCCTACTATAAGGCCTGGAGCCGCAGGCTTGTTCTGGTAATGACGTTGCAGCGCAATTATCCGATCGGCTGGCCGTTTCTCCGCGGGATTTTCGATAAATATTCCAACCGGAATCCATCTTGTTACCGTTCTCGTTCATACGACAGACGAACCGCCGGTCCACTCTCCATACTTCTCTCGAAAATTTGCCTCGCAGATTCATGGTAAATCGAATTTCCCTTCGTCCTTTCTCGAACGCGATCACATTAATTCGCTGAATACAGCTGGCCCGTTTTCAGACGTGAGAGGGATCTACCTAGGATAATACATCGAAGTGCACAGAGGAGACGTTCAATTCTGAATTATGAACCACTTTGCCGGAGTTTATGAATCTTTACAAACTCGATTTTAAATACGCCCCTGCCGAATATACGAGATTTGATACCAAGGGGGACTTAAGTCGATTACAGATATTTCATAGGCAAAGATTGAAGATATTTGTAATGGAGGATGAATGGTTTGATGAAGATATTACTGTCTTACGTTATTTTACCATGTGATTTTTGTAATAATTTTTGCAAAATTAATTGCAATTTTTCTGCAATTTCATTTCTCTGTAAAACTCGTTGTTTAACATATCCGATAAGTTTTTCTATACACAGTTGCGTCTACAAACCCGGAGGAGAAGTTTGAATTTTTCAAAATTAAGTAAATTTAATTATATTGTATCAATACAGTCTCCTTTCTATTCGCATTTTTATCTGTTGTATATTATTAATTATTCACACTTTAACAGAATATTGTTCTTTTGCTCCACTTCAATTTTCGAATTACAAATGCAACATGCAAAAAGAAAAGACTGTAAATTGGAAAATCGTTTATAGGAAACATCGAGTCCTGTTATTTTTCGAATAACCTTTTATTACCTGCCGTACCGTAAAATTTCAATTAAATGTAAATTTAATGACTTTAAGATGACTTTCTTGCGTGAAAGGTTTTATCAGTGCCTTCTAAAAAGTGACCTCAAAGTCATTCGGTCTAAAGTTAGAACAGAAATTTGCAAATACGGTTCCACCCACACGAAGAGTACGCGAACCCGAGAGGTCTAAAGCAAGTCAATTTATCATCATTATAATCTTGTTCCATTTTCCGCCTACGGCCACCAACTCGATATATTCCTTTTTTCCACGAGTTCTGGACTTTTTCGCAGGTTTGAAATATTAACAAATTTCGTCGTTTCAAGTTAAGTTACAAATTATTTCCACTGATTTACTGAGAAACAAATCGAAAATATAATAACGTGGAATGGAAAGTTCGATTATTCTATCTTATATTTTAATACTCGTCGTATTTTTCAATATCGATATTTCTCTCACTCGTCAGTTTATTACAGAAGGCTTGAAAATTTTTAAATAAAATTGTTCAAGGAAATCAACTATTTTATTTTGTAGGAATAAAGTGAAATTCTTGTGAAACAAGTGTTTCTAATTCGGAAAGAAAATTATGATTCATTGACAGTTTCGAAATTATCTGTACACCTGTAAATTGTGCAAATTACAATTATAGCAGGTCAAAACTAGAAATTCTACCAATTATAGAAGTTTCTCCTCGATTTGCAATGCTGAGTTATTTCCTAATTTTCACAGTTTCCGTATGCATTGGACAATCGTGAAATTATGTTAATATTAAGAAGGGTATTTTCGACGAATCGCAACGAGCTCAGAAAATAGAATGAAAATTATTCACCGCCTGCACAAGACGCACTTACACGCATAGAAAATTTCATTGTAAATGCACAACCTCCTCTAACAATAATAAAAGATAAAGTGTCGTAGGTGAATGAGTTGAAAAAGATCGCGTTTCCGTGCAAAACAACAAAAGCGAGAATAAGGGAATTATTTGCATGAAAGGCAATCTTTGCTGAATGGATTCGTTGAAAAGGACGAAGAATTCAGAAGAAGTGAGAAAATTGAATTTCAAAGCATCAACAGGTTAAGTCTCGAAGAAGAAAAAATTATGATTCCATTCGAATCGAATGCCTCGAATACCTGTTTATTTACGCAGTCACTTAAGGTAAGAAAAATTGAAAGGAGCGAGGAGAAAGAAAATACGAGAAGAAAGCGTTTAAAATCGCCTTGCACGAAAGTTTAATAAAACTGACTTGCTTCGAAGGGCTATTCTAGTGCGAGCGATAACTCAATTCAAGGATGGGGTAAGATTAATTGTGGCGCTAACGAAACCTGACAGCCTAGTCTGTAAAGTATTGCAGAAACAATGTACAACGCCTTCGTACGTTTTTCTCTTTTTAACTGCGTTAAAATCACGTTTGAACGTCTTTATTTTCGGCTCTAAAGTATTGTTGGCTACTTTCACACCTCGATTCTTCTTGGCGATACGAATCGTCAAATTCGAAAATAGGGAGAACACAACTTTGAAATTTTTTTCGATAGAAAAATTCTAATTAAGAATAAAATACTAGATAAATCTCTATATTTCACCGCACGTTCAGAATCGCGAAGTTATAAAAATTTATGCGCAGCGTCGTGAAAATAGTGTAAAACTTGAGTTCACTACATAGAGAAATTAAATTCGTTTCAAGAATGCTCCTGTGCAAGCATCCTTGAAAAAGAGTAGGTGATAACATTTTAATTCTTGCACTTTGAACGCTCTTATAGCACCGTTTTCAGCCACAGAGTGTGGATGTAAAATATATGACAGAGGAATGGTTGTATGAAGATGGGAGAAAGGTGCAGTTGAACATTGTATACAACTTGAAACAGAACTTCTATAGGCAGAGTTTATCAGAACATGTGTATATAATTTCGTGGATAAATTAGAGACGTAAAAACAATTAAAAAAATTCCTTTTATGCATTTTTTTTTCTATTAAACCTTGTTTCTGTATCGCAGTCAATTGTGTGCTTAATTAACCCCTTAAACTATGATTTCTTTTCTGACTTTGCATCTAAGCGTCAGCCATTTTGTTTTAGTACTGTATCGGGTAACTAAAGTTGATCTGTTACAGATCGATTACATTTAGTAATCTTCAGTCTTACGAATTCAGACGAATGTTAGGATTGCAATGAATTTTTCTTCTTAATTCAACTATTTTTCGCACATTTTGGCCAGAATCTCTGCCACGAGTCTGACACGTTGTCATATGTTAAGGGGTTAATGTGAAAAAATAGTAGAACGATTTTGTTTTTGGAGATAAGTTGCGCTGCATTTAACAATTAAACGAAGCTTAGAAAAACGCTAAATATGTTCCATTAATTTACAGCAAGATAAATGCACGAACAAGTTGCTTATTCAAAATATCGCGCTCGGTAGACGTCGAAAAATTTGCGAAACAGAGAAAGCCTCGGGCTTGCATCCACAGTGTTTATCTTCGTTGCGTCACTGGTTAACCGCTCTACCACCTTATTCAACGCCGTTCCTCCCGTTTCTGTACACACGTGTTATTGTTTTCATTCGCTGAAGGCTCTCTGATTTCACTTGTATGCCGCAAGTGAATTGCAAAAATGTCGCAGAACGTGAAAATATAAAAAAGGCAAACTGTAGTTTCCTATGGTAACGCATATAGTCGCTAATTGCAGCGAAATGTTGTAACATTACTATTTGATGACTTTGTTGAAAACTAATTTTTTATTCAGATATCAAATTAAATTGTTAGACTGATTAATAAGGTATAGAAGTTTAAACTTGAATTATTCTCGAAAGGATTTTTGTGCGATATATGTATAACTTTGTATGTAGTAATTTATAATTATCAATACTTTGGAATTATTTAGAAATATTCAACTAGCTTGTTTTGAGCCTCGTGATAGGAATTTGTATCGCGTTCGCATTTGCATCTGTTATGCTAAGGTTACAGCTTCTCAAAGACCTCGAGTTTCCTCCAAAAGCTTTTCAGTTTAGAATTCTCAGTACAAGGCACACTTTTGTCAATTTATTTTCTGTGCTATTGCTTTAACGTCATACTTGTTTTTATAAATTATAATCAAATTATATAAATAGTAATATTTTTCCTTAATTCCTCTTCAATATTTAGCAATATCTCGAACAAAAATACAAAATAATTTCTAGCATGCACCAACTACTCCAAATTTCAACAAAATCGCGTTATTATAGATTTGCACGCATCGTGAATTCTATCGAGACCGAATTCTAATACGCCCGATCAAATGTTGAATTAGGTCAGGTACGTAGAATAATTTTAATTTCTCCGTGTGTTTATTATTTTATTCATCGATACCACCAAGCCCGGCATTTCCGTCTCCCCACTCGTTGTTCGTACTACTTATATCCGGCGTGTTTCTCGAACTCAACGCGCGCTAACCAATTTGCCGCATAAATCTAGAGAAGTGAAAAGTGAGTAAACCCCGGCTGAAAGCGCAGCGAGTAATTAAACGTCACGCGCACACTCGCTAGAGATACGCATTTATTTTCATTGCTTTCGATCTTTATCAGCCTTTATGGCCCCATTTTATCTCGCTTATACGGCTGGTTGGTCGCGTTTAATACCTTTAGGCATCTGCAGATTCGACGTACTTCGATCTAATTCCGAATGCTCGAGAAACGATCGTCTGTGTCGAGTGTAATTTGAAATACAAACGACGTGTATCGAGATAAATAGTATTTAAAAGCGTGCACCGAAGTGTTATTACTCGTTACAGTCGCAAACGAAAGTTAAATTTGGCGTGAGAATCTTTACTCGTTTCCATCTGAATGTCTTTTCAAAATAAATTCGGAATTTCTTTGGTGTCCTAGAAAAAGCAAGTGTATTATAAGAACATTTTTTTTGGAGTCGAATCTCTTTGTTATTTCAATATCTGTTATTACTTTGGGAGATTTCTGCACTTTTATAGAAGTATTTTAATATTTTACTAAATATTCCCAACTAAGTAGGTACCCTAACTATTTCCTTATTAAATAGTTAAAGTCACGAAGAGAATTATGAAGAAATATCGCTGCCTGCTTGGACTCACAAAATTATCAATTAATTCACGTGAAATAATTATGTACGTAAGTACTTACTTCTGTGCCCTGTGTCCAAAGTTGGATCTCTTCTTAACTTCACCCTTCTCTTCGCGTTCACCCACGGTGCTGTAACAAACGTATTAACGTAAAATGTGAATTTCATAATTTCAAACTTACAAATTGCAGTCTGAAAATCACAGAATTTACAAAATCTTCCATTTGAAAATTCCATTGGAGATTGTTCCGATTTTCTGTCGGGTTCAAAATCTGGTTACCGTGATACTGATTTAGAGCAAACATTTTTAAACTAACGCAAATTTAACGAACATCGTGAAACCAGTGTTTTCCAGCGGATCAATATTTTCTGGATAAAGCAAATGATCTGTGGAAATATAGAGAGAAACGTTCCTCTTAATACCGACAGGCAAATCGTAACAAAAGGGAAATCTTTGAAGGGTAGAAGAAGATTGGGCCAAGTTTCTTTTTTATAATGCAGTCGCGTGACTTCCGCTCGACGTAGCGTAAAGGCGATTTCGTTTATACCCCCAATTCCAGTCCCGATCGATGCTCATTCTTGCAGAAAGTGAGTTAGTGTCTCCTACTCTCTTTGCAACTGCTGGATATTTTTTTAGGGAACCGCTAAATGTGACGAAAAGTTCCTAAAAGAAGAACCTATTCTTCGACTACCATCAGAATTTAAACAAACTGTTTACCTAATTTCTCGATCTTTTATTTCTGCGAAACAAAAATTTGTAAGAATTACAAAACTATCTCGAAGCGCCCTTTGAACAAACACATTCTCATTTTCAACGAAAATTGCAATTTCCCAGAAACTATAGCAGAAAAGCTGCTTCTACTCTTCCTATGGTAACTTTCTCAAGAATTTACCTGCAAACTGATCAAATTTCATATCCTGCCAGATCCGTCAGAAATTGCGTCAAAAGATCAGGTTCATGTATCGGAAGTCCCCCCCTTTTTTTTTACTTTCGTGTTTACCTTTTTGAACAAATCCTCACCGACACTCCTTTGTGTTCTACCGAAAAATTTCGAGCTTATTGTTAGTAAAACTTTAAAAAAGGAATGTAACATTTTTCATTCACGCGTAATTCCATAATTTCAATATTTTAACAAATTCTTGTTAGTTTATGAAGTTCACTGTCATAAAGCAATCTTAAATTTGACAAAATTGCTATGGAAAAATTCGAACACCCTGATATTTCAACTCGAAAAATGATTTCTCTGTGAAAGTTGTGCAACAATGTTATTCAGCGTGTTCTCAAAAAAATGTTCGCTCTAAGAATAGGAAAGGAAATGCTAATAGAATGATATATTATGTCATCTGGACTGCATCGAGCAAGAAAATGAAGAATTACGTAAAACAGCTTCTATTGCGTGTCATCGTCCACTCCTTATCGCAGTTTCTTCTGATCGTTACCGTTTAATGTCTCTTACGTCTCCTAGGCTTCATTAGCTTAACGTCACTTTTGTACTTTTCCTATTTTTCTGCCGTATTTCTTTCGCAAGGAACTGCAACATTTCCAACTGATTCGTAATTAAAGGGTTTTTCTAATATAAATGACATTTTCATTCCTTACCAAAAGCCATTTTCTATTATAACGAACAAGCTTAAAGAGCTGCTCCGGTTTTTATGTCACATTTACGGATAAAGAAGTCTTTGCTGAGTTTACTTCTGGAGAGCGGGGGTCCACATTGTTCACGAGATTAAATTCCCGATTCCTAATTAAAAGAATTTAATTACCAGCATAGAAGGAAGCCTCTATTTTATAAAGGACGCGCCGGTAGATTTGTCTGTTTTAATATCTGTCTTTCTCCGTTTCTCCTGTTTCTGTTTATAGAGATCTTACGAGTGAAGGAAATCAAATCGAAATTACCATTCGTCAAAATTACTGTAACGAAAATTACGATTCGGCAAAATTACTGTACCAAAAATTAGAATTCGGCAAAGTTACTGTACCAAAAATTAGAATTCGTCAAAATTATTATACCAAACATTACCATTTGTCAAAATTACCGTAGCAAAAATTACCATTCTTCAACGTTACTGTACCAAAAATTACAATTTCTTACAACGGTTTGAAATAAACAAATCTGCTTGTGTCGACATTTCAATCATCTAATAAAAGCGTTTTCAATTAAAATTTTATAATGCTTCAGGTATGTTTCTTAAAACCCAATCTAAATTAGGAAAATAAATTTCTCTACTCGAATGCTATTACGTTAGAATTTTATTCTTAATTTTAGAGATATACCTCCTCGTAATTAGTTCCTAATTAATACAATTCTAGTACTTGATCACCTAGCTTTAAAGCATTAATTTTGATCTACCAGTAAAAATTACCTTAATCTCAAGAGATACGTCGAAACTGCTCCATCTTCAAACAATTCAAGTTTGATTACAATACAAAATCCCCCTGACAAATTTTACAGCCAAGAACGACCGAAATTCAAACTTCGAGTATCCCATTACACGTTCTTCCATTCAAACGTTGTTTCGCCCTCCTATTTAACAATCTTCGATAACACCATTATCGGCGAAACATTATTTCAGCTGAATGCTGGCAAGAATTTCTGAAACATCTTCGAAGCTTCGAAGATATAGTCAAAGTTATTGTTATCAGATAACACGTTTCGAACATGGAGAAAGTAATAAAAGTCCCGGCGATACAGTTTCCGCGGTATTAAATAATAGGGGGGAAATTTTAATGAAAGATTCTCGTCGAAGTTACTCACTCATGTCATTGTCCGCATGGTGGATAACGATCTTGATGCTTTCCCCGTCCACGAGACTTCCTTGTCGAGCCAGCTCACGATCTTCGGCTGCAACCCTATTCACCGCCGATGGAGGAGCTACTTTTGCCGCTCCTGGAGCGACGGAGGATGCCAACGCCTTTATGGCGTTTATATCCGGCCTGAAATCAGAGTGTCAAACATTGATTCTTGTATTGGTCTGTAGAGACGTGAACGAGGGAAAATGGGAAAATAAAAGTAGCCGAACGAAGAGGCTCGTTGTCAGTGAGATCTATGATTAACTGACTCGTGATACAGATTTTTGGTGAATTTGTGATAAAAACAGTTATGTCAGTAACGAAGATTTTATTTTAATTTATGAAACATTTTATACGTTAGTTTTTCTTACTTCGCAGAGAATTCAAATAATAAATAGCTTACCTTTGCACGCATACTCGGTAAAAAAATGATAAGTTCAAATATGACTTTTTATTAAATAGATTGTCAGTTGTTGTCTCTAAATTTTTATTTGCAATAATCGATCACCCGTTTCTTTTAAATAGAAGAAGAGTGTGTTGAAATTATGAAGTTGGAGAAAATCATCGAAAAGTTTTCGTCGAAAGATTTGTACAATTTTAAAATCGTATTTTGAATAAAATTTGTTTTATTCGCTAATTAACATCGTCTTGTAATAATAATTCCACTGTTTCGCGATGGAAAGGATAATTCGGTTATTGCACGTTTGCAATATTGTAACTTGCTAACGCAAAACTGATTTGTTCACATCACGGCACGTTGTCATTTGTTCACATCGTATGGAAACTGTTGAAGAGTAATTTGTAATATTTTACCGTGACTGAACTTTCGTAAAATTCGTAAATTACGTGGTATTATTAGTCGAGCGTAATATGGACCCGTCGCGAAATTCAGTTTCTGAGTTGCCAATTTCGTTTCTGCTCGGTTTAAATAGCTATTCGCGCGTGATACACGAGCACACCGATCAATTTCCATAAATTGAAACGATTCCGAATTGAGAGAACAGTCGTGATTCGAAGAAGTGTTTGGACTGCAGTCTCTTTGAAGCAAGTTTAACGAGAAAATCTGCCGTTAACGTAGTTAATTTCGCAATTTTACAATTGAGTGTCTCCTATTCTCGAATATTGTATTGTATTATTTTTGAATATTAGAAATTTCAATAGATACATTTTAACTTATTTTAAGTATTTTTGTTATTTTGTTACTTTTATTTTTAATTTCGCAATTTCACAATTGAGTGTCTCCTTGTATTCTTGAATATTGTATTGTATTGTTTTTATATTTTAGAAATTTCAAGAGAACTTAAATTTCAGTGGATATATGTTAAGCTACTTTCAGTACTTTTGTTATTTTGTGATTTTTATTTGAAAAAATTTCGTTTTTAAATTTTTCGAATAACTGTTAAATCCTTTTGAAATTATTTTGAGAATATATTGTAAAATTTGGATGCTTCTAAAGGAATACTTCAGGAAATGAAACAAGATTTTTATCCAGATTAGGTTTCCCCCAACTATCTATTCCATGATGATTACATATTAAGATTGTTGAATTTCGACAGTTTTGTTATTAAAACTTGTCTCGTTCGTTAAAAGAACTTCTACGTGAAAACAATAATTTAAAAAAGGCTCATACTAAACACAATGCAACCATTAACCCATTTGCATCAGAGCTCTGAATAGGCTACTAGCGTTATTCATCTGAGGCGTTCAATTGGCCTAATATTTCTCGTGTTTTTGTTTATTACTGATTTTACTCCGAAATTACGTGCAATAATTCAAAATTATTAAGAAATTTTTAACCTTCGAAATCCTTCTATACAATCGTCATGTGCGGATTATTCCGCTCTAGGATGCAAATGGATTAATCTTCAAACACAGTAACAAATTTTTGCAACAAAGTAAATTGCAGAATTGATAAAAACTTGCATAAAAATCTATATACACGTAGAATGCAAGAGAACAAATTGCTTGAAACTCCCCCGAAAATAGGAAACTCCGTGGAAACGTTGTTCTAACAGGTCGGAACAGCCCATTCGCCTAACGCAACCGTAATTACTGTCGAACCCTTTACGATTCTACTTGGTTTGGCCGCGCGGTTCGTTGAAGTTGGCATAGGAAAAACATGCCGCTTCCGGGCAAACGTTAGCCGTCGTTTCTCCGCTTCCCTTCCTCGTTCTCTCGCGTAATCCTAATTAATCTATTTCTCGAGTGGAGTGGTTAAAACGACCG